ATGAGCTTTCAAGAGTAATGTCTTGCGACAGTTATGTTCCGGTAAAAGGTACTGCAGGGCCAATATTCAGCTATGCGGCGATGAAGTCAACCAACAAATGGCGCTACATAGCCAGATTTTGGCTATGCAGCGCCAATATTCAGCTATGCGGCGATGCAGTCAACCAACAAATGGCGCTACATAGCCAGATTTTGGCTATGCAGCGCCAATATTCAGCTATGCGGCGATGAAGTCAACCAACAAATGGCGCTACATAGCCAGATTTTGGCTATGCAGCGCCATAATCTGCCGATCAGACAATCGGAAGTTTAACTGCTAACTGCTTCAATTTCCTCTTGACTCTGTCATCATATTTCTCAGAGATATAAAAGTTAGGAAGACTTCTTGTATTTAACGTAGTAATAGTAATAATAATACTAATTACTGTTCTTGTTATTTCTGAAAGTTAAATTCGAAAGGAGATGTCTATTCTGAGTAGCTACAATTCGTCAGTATTGCACTTCAAATCAGATACTTTTCAAGCCAACTGGTAACAGGCTTGTTGTATCCTAGTAGAGCATTGTCTGTTATCTGAAAAGTCGGACAATCACTCTTCTTTTGAGAAAGCGATAATATCAAGCCTCAAGCCGTCTTTTGTTTCTTTATTTTTCTTTTACTTCATATCAAATTTCTAACACGAGAGCCTTGGTCTTTTTGCCTTTTTGTTCCTGGATTATTACCGGTACTCGTGTCTTGAAATAAACATCTTCTTCTTCTTGATATGCAGCTGTGTTCTGTCAGCCTTCTTGCTGGGCTTTTGATACTGTTGAGAAGTGCAGTCAGGATTACTCATAAAGCACAAGCTGTTACATGCTTAGCAGCCAAGTGGCATGTGTGTGCAACAATAGACTCTTTTGATTCAGTTGAGGGTGAAACTCCTCCAATTTCTCAAATAGCCAGCAACCAAGTTTTCCCTGTGAGTTCTCAAGGATCATCCGATGCTGACGATGTTGGAGATGAAGAAGATGAGCTTGACAATACACAATTTGTTCCCTCTTATGCCTATAGCACTATTTCATTCCAGAAAAGGCAGGCACTAGGTATGCTGCTTTCACTTCGTTTTTTTTTTTTTTCAAATCCTGAAACCCTGAAAGCAGAAAGTGCAAAACCAAGGTCCGTTGGACTTGAAGTGAAAAAGAGACGAACCGCACGCTTCTTGGGCTGAAGCGCGCAACTTACTGGAAATTAAAAATATCAAATATCTTTAGTCCAACTAAAATTAAATTGCTATCTTCACACCTTGAGTTATCCTGAGGTCGAGAATTCGAGCTTACCTTTCAAAAACTAATTGCTATCTTCACACCATTTTTGTCGCTATTAGTCCAACTCATCAAAGTTGAGATTCAAAGAAGCAATCGAATCTATTCTTGATGGAATCACTTTCTGTGTCACTGAAACACATACTTCGCTTCTCATTGCTTCATTTCTTTAAGTGACGAAGTGATAAATTTTAATAACACTACTTATTTCTTCCTTTGAAATATGCTGTACTACACGTAAAATTCTGTAATATTGTATTGTTCGAATCAACTAACGATGATTTGGTTTGTCGCTTGTGTTGCAGTGACATATTTTGAGAACAATAGAGCAGGAGTTACTCTATATGGCTTTATGCTGGACAGAAGTTATCTTCACACCATTTTTGGTATAGAACTCGCGCTGGTGCTCTGGTTGCTCGGGAAAACTATTGGCATTTCTTGAATCTTTGGATACAGAATTGAAAGGGGCTTTTGTTATTTACCTGTGCTATTGTCTAAAGTATAACATGTGGAATGTAGCATTGTTTTAGAGTGTTAACATATCCGTTGAGAGCGAGCATGTATAGAGTTATTTGTTTATTCAATTTTGTATGGTAATCGTATTATTTCCTTGTGTTATTGGCGATCTGGATCCTCCCCGTTCCTCCTCTCAGATAATGTTGCTCTTTGTACTGGATCTATAAGATGAAAGATGATGTAATTTACATGTTTTTTTTTCTCATGCTCTTGTTTTTTACGGCGAAATTTTTGCCATTTGTCCCTTTTTGTTAAAATAATCTTCTTTTTATTATTTCTCTTGCAATTGATGATCCTTTTAGATCACGGTCTAAAGATCCTTTTAATCAAACTGAAAATCTTATAAAAAATGTTAGGCCACAGTATAAATAAAATTTCGTAATTTATTGCAAACGTTAGTACACAATTTAATGTTTTGCAGGCAAACAAAATTATAGGGGCAAACATTAAAACCGAGCTAATGTTGTCCGGAAGGGATAATTTCCCAAGAGCTATATTTGCACACTTTTTACAATGAGGACAAAATCTAAATAGTGGCCTAAAAGGAACATTTGTGTAAATCCTTCCCATCCCTCCGTGTTGCGAAAATAGCATGGGCTAGTCAGTTTTCGGATTGATAATTGAAAAATAGTCAGTATTTATAAAGTCATTGAAAAATAGTCACTATTTTGCTGAAACACGAAAAGTTCCAGCATAATATGCTCGATTATGAAGCTCCTGCGTATAAACTTCCAGCATATTATGTTGGAACTTCAGCAATTTGTAAGAAAATTGGAATAATTTTTGTATATAACATACATAACGTATATATACAAAAAATATATATATTTCGACTATTATTTTAAGAGCGGCTATTAGAGCTGTCAATATGGGCTGGGCCAGGTTAGCCCAACACAGCTCAAGTGGGTTTTAGAAATTGAGGGGCGGGCTAGCCCACCATTTTGATGGGCCTTATAATGGTCAGCTCACCCCAGTCCTATGTGGGCCACGGGTCCCCATGGGCCGGCCCATCATTTTTTAAAATGTAATTTTATATTTTTTCTTTTAGTTCTAACCTAAAAAAAAGATAAATATTTAAAAGTTAAAAAATATCTTATTGAAAAAATTTCGCAAAACTTAATAACTTTTTATATTTTTCCAATATATCACAATAAACAATAAAAAGGTAAAAGACAAGATTATATTTCATACACTAAAAGTCAAAACTCAAAAAAAGTTATTCAAGAGAACGTCCATGACGCTTATGGGATATCCAACACATCATCTTCATCAAGCACATTTGAATCCGCTTATGATAAGGTTGTCTTAACATCTTTATTTTCATTTACGTCCACAATTCATATGCAATATTAATTAGTTAAATATTAAGAATAATTAAATTTTAAAAACTAATAATATTCAATTCACATAAAAAAAATATTACCAGTTTGGGAAAAATCGTGTAGCCAATTTCGTGTAGTAACAAGTGTTTGGACATTTTCATGATGGATGCAATTTCTGTACTTTGTCAGAACACGCCCAACAATGATAAGTGTTGATTCTAATGCGACAGTGGTAGTAGGAAATACTAAGTACATCACGCGCCATCGCTGAAAGATCGGGATATTTTCTAGAATGGTCTTTCCAATACATGACAATATCCATCTCTTGAAACTTCTCAAGATCAAGCTTTAGTTCCTCTAAGTAAAAATCTAATTCTGACTTTCCAGTGCTAGAGGCAGTATACTTTTTATATTTTATATATTTTAAATAAATATTTTTATTAGGCCCACGGCCCGGCCCGACCTCAGTCAAGTCTCACGGGCCGCGGACTTACTCGGGTCGGGCTTAAAAGCCTCGTTTTAAATGGGCTCCAAAAATTCTAGCTCAACCCTGCTAAATCACGAATTAGGCTGGTCTAGACCAATGGGCCAAACCCATATTGACGGCTCTAGCGCCTATATTTTCCGTTAATTAACTCTGGGAGAAATTCAAAAATAGTCAGTTTTACAAGTGGTAACTGAAAAATGGTCACAGTTTCAAAAGTAATCGAAATTTAGCCACTTTTCATGTAAAGATAAATCTGAACAAAAACACTGTTCAAAATCCGGAAAATATTCCAGCATAATATACTGGAGTTCCAGTATATTTGTCTGGAACTTCAGCATATTATACTGGAGTTCCAGCATAATATGCTGGAAGTTCATACACATGTGCTTCAATCTCTAGTATATTATGCTGGAACTTTCCGAATGTTGGAGTTCCAGCATAATATGCTGAAAGTTCATACACAGGTGCACCAATCTCCAGTATATTATGCTGGACCGGTCCGTGTTACAGCAAAATGATGACTATTTTTCAATGACTTTACAAACACTAGCTATTTTTAAATTATCAATCCAAAAATTGACTAACTCATGCTATTTTTACATTAATTCTTCTAACAATAAAAGGTAGCTCGTCCATTCGAGAAAGTGATTGACAAGTTGCATTGCAGCTGACTCCCTCTGTTGTATTTTATGCCACACTGATCCCTTTATAATCTGTTTCAAGAGAAAAACTCATTTTTAAGATTTGAAAACAATTTAACATTTTCGTTTAATCCTTAAATGATATAATTTTATAATCATAAAAATATCATAAATATATTTAAGATTATAAATTCTAAAAGTGATATAACCACACAAATTCACAAGTTTCAAACGTTTTTGTGTTCACGTGAAATGGAATGAAGGGAGTATTTAAATGAAGCCAACCAAACTTTCAAACAGTTTATTAAGACGTCTTATCTCTTGAGATCGAAATAAAGCAACATGAATAATTATGCTTTAGTTTTAAATAAGTTAGAGTCGGTTATACGAGTATGTACTATTCATGTTATGCTGGTATGTTTAATCTCATCTCAATCTCATATTATATTATACATAAAATAATCAATCCATTATTAGGAAAACAAATGGAAGATACGGATTCTTATCGTCGCTAATCCAAAAAATTAGGTATAGGCAATTTTATTGTTCTCTTGAAGTAGTTATATATATCAATAATGCTGATAGGGCAAGTATAATCCACCGTAAATCTTGAAGTGTTTAGAAGGGACGTTGTTTAGGTTGCGTAATAAGGAACTAATTAAGAGCATAGAACCATTTGACGATAATTAAGGCATCGTTAAGTGAGAAAATGGCTTCTGTCCTGATGGCCCAATGGGCTTTTGATATATAAACAGACACTTTGAGTAATTTGTAGCAGTAGCTTAGTACGTAAATTAATAGTGGGAAAGTGATCCGTGTTATGAGTACATCATTTTCAATAGTCGAGGAATAATACAAAAGGTAGATCTTGGAGAATTTATTTGTTCAGTTCTCTGCATTTCAAAAGAAGAAGAGATCATTTAAGAAATGGAGTTTGATACAAGTCCCATTAATCGATGTTCCAAAGAGCATGAGAAGATCTATCAAGAATGGTTCAATTTCGCGGATTCAGGTAAAATGCTACCTTTTTTCCCCTCTGTGTCATTCAAATAAGAGCAGAAACAAATGAATTTGGCACAATGGGGGTTTATTTATTGGGTACAGATGGAGATGGACGTCTCACTGGAGGAGATGCCACAAAGTTCTTTGCCATGTCCAATTTGCCTCGTCCTGAGCTCAAGCAGGTTCGTCTCTTTTCTTTTATGTTTGTGAATGCTTCAATAATTAGGTGTTAACTGTTTTTTATCATGTTTAATTTGAATATTTGCTATCCCAGTACTGTTATCATCTTCAGTTTTGAATAGCAGTATTTTTTATATGAGTGGTGTTTAGGTCAACTAACCCTCACCTCAGACTATTCCGCCAGGTACCTGCTACCTCTCACCAACAACCTGCAAGTATCGTGTAACTTTGTCAAGGTTTGAATTGATAGAAGAAATCACATACATTTGAACGCCTGTTTTTTCTTTTAACGGTGGTTCCCGGCCACCTTATGCACACCTCAACTAATTTCACAGGACACATGCTACCTCTCATCAGCACAAATACCGGGTAACTCTATCCACCAAGGCTTGGACAGATGGAAAGAAATCACCTAGTGTTCATTGACCACTAGGCCACATTTGAACATCTTCAATCATTCATTTTTTTCATAAAATAAGTATGTCTAAGGCCTTTCATTTTCTAGTATATGTATTAAAGGATAAGTTCTCAACTAATTAGCTTCTCGGAATCTAGGTGCGCCTTTTGTAAAGGCACTTTTCGTTTCCTTCTTCGATTCAATAGATGACTTGCTAACTTGATCTTTGCGACGCATTAGAATGACCAACCTATCACTCAAAAGAACTCATGAAAATGACCTACGATCTAGAATGTTAAGCAGAAGATGAAAGACGTGAGCCAGCTGTGAAATCCTCAGGTTTTAGGCCTTCTCTTAAAGGTTAATATTGTCAGTTGGCTCACTGATAATCACATTCAGGTTGCTATCATCTTCCCGGGGCTAATGTGAATAAGATTGAGGCAGATGTTAAAGTTAAAGTATTTAGATAACTTCTAGTGATAAGCAGAATTAAGTTTAAACGGCAAAACAAAAATCTGAGCAAAGGGCAAACTGAACTCTCCTCGCTCCCTTGCGCCTAAATCCTTAAATAAGGTATTTTGTTTTGCTTGAGAAGTCGTATTATCTAGCTAGTTAACACATAAAGATATGTGGCCAATAAATCGTATTTTGACCTATGTACGGACCTTATATTAGTAGCTTGTGCTGAATCACATAGACCTCTTAAGTTTGCGGTTTCCTCCCAGTTTTGACGATTCATTTTCTGCTGCTTAAAAGTGTTTCAACAATTTGTTTCATTTCCCTTCTTTTCCTAAGGTGTGGGCAATTGCAGATTCCAAGCGACAAGGTTTTCTCAGTTTTATAGAATTTGTTATTGCAATGCAGGTACTACTTACACTCTCATTTCAATTTTTTTGTTAATTCTAGTCCATCTAAAGCAGAAATCTCTCTTTGCTTTTTGATGTGTAGTTGGTCTCTCTGGCGCAAGCTGGCCATGCAGTAACCAATGATCTTTTAAATGCTGATGGTAACTTGCGTAGTTTCATGTTGTTAATTTATAATGTACTGCGTTGTATGACTTTCCTTAGCTTACATCATTCTTCTCATTTACTGATCTTACACATTTGAAATCCATTGCAGTTGATTTTGAAAATTTGCTACCCCCTGCAATGGAAGGTCTGGATGTCTTTCTTGCTGTAAGTATTCTAGATTCACCTTCTACCTTATTTTTCGTTTAACACTGAAGTGACTGAACTGTAACCTTATTTATATCTTTTTAAACAGAAGAAGAAGCCCATGCCTAAAAGCGAACCTGATCAGAATGGTATTTTACCTCATTGCACACAAGAACTTATCCTATCTTTTCTTTCTTTATGGTCTTGGGGCGTGGGGAAGGGAGGTAGATGGTATGATTGCTTCTAACTGTTTGAATGGAGAAGCAGGCAGTGCTCCTGTCCCGTCTGCACCAGCAACTAGTTGGTTTTCATCATCAAAATCTGCAAAGAAGGTGAGTGTGGTTACTCTTTTTAAATAATCACACTCTCAAAATCTTGCATTTTTTTGCTTATTCACTGCTATACAACTTTCGTAAGTTACCAATAACATACTCAAATTATGTATACCTATCAAAAAAGGAAAAAAAAACATATTTAAATTCTGCATTATGTGGGGTTTTCTTATCGAGCTATGTTGTCAAGAAGTATCTTTGTCCTTTTCCATTAGTGTGAAGTTGTTTGATTTTATTTGTAGACTGTTGGTAGAAATTATTGCATGAGCTTCTCCTATCCCAAATTCCCCGATCACATCTTACAGCACTTCATGGTATGTTAATGCTTAGTTCTTGGTTTGCTCCTAATGCTTCACTTTTTTCATCTGCCTACAGGTCTCTTTAACCTCTGTCACATCAATAGTTGATGGACTGAAGAAGTTGTACATCCAAAAGCTAAAGCCGCTAGAAGTCGCATATCACTTTAATGATTTTGTCTCTCCATTGTTGGTAGGTTGTGCATTTCACCTTCAGTGTTGCTTACTTTAAGATGCTGGAAAATAACTTCTTGCTCTTTTTCCTCCCCTTCAAGTATGCTTCCTTCTTATTGACACGGGAAAACTTGAAAATAGTGATAGATAAACAGCTGAAGTGCTTTTGTTATGTGCTGTAGGCGAATAGTGATTTTGATGCCAAGCCGATGGTCATGCTTTTGGGTCAATACTCCACAGGCAAAACCACATTCATTAAACATTTACTCAAAACCAGTTATCCAGGTTAGCTAATACTCCTTTTTACTTGTGTATGTCTTTTGTCTATGTACTTAAGAGGCTCTTGTTTACATTGTCACATCCTCTATTTCTATAGGTGCTCACATTGGTCCGGAGCCTACAACAGATAGATTTGTGGTTGTCATGGTATTTTCGCCTTTCTTTACTCTTACTGACTGATTTGTGGTTGTCTTGGTATTTTCGCCCTTTCTTTACTCTTACTGACCACTCTGGTCAGTCATTACTGCTTGGATTATGGTCCTGAAAAGAAGAAATCTATACCTGTCTCTGCCAAGAGTTCAATGTCTTCCTCCATTTAAGTGTCCCAACATAAGGTCCACTTTGAAGACACTTCACAGTTTATAATTTTCTTTTCTTTTTATAGTCTACTATGTACGTCTCTATTTTTCATGTGGGAGTTCAGATTTCTGCTGCTTTTCGCAATAGTTTCACCAATATGGTACATGCTTGGGAATAATTTTCTCAAATGTTGTGATCACTTTCAACTGTGTGTAATACAGAACGGGCCGGATGAAAGAAGTATTCCAGGAAATACAATTGCTGTTCAAGCAGATATGCCATTTAGCGGTCTGACAACTTTCGGAACTGCATTTTTGTCAAAGTTTGAGTGTTCTCAAATGCCGCATCCTGTGAGTTATGGATCAATTTACTTATACTATAAAATGAAACAACCTTTATTTAGCCGAGGGTCTATTGGAAACAGTCTCTCTGCCCTTCCAGTGTAGGGGTAAGGCTGCGTACATCATACCCTCCCCAGACCCCACTTGTGGGATTACACTGGGTTGTTGTTGTTGTTGTTGTATAAAATGAAACAACCTTTAACAAAACTCAGAATACTTTGAACTCCTTTTTTCCTGAAACAACCTCTCTCTCANACCTCTCTCTCGTGTTAAAAAAAGTTGTTGGAGCATATTACTCTGGTGGATACTCCTGGAGTTTTATCTGGGGAAAAGCAGAGAACACAAAGGAGCTATGACTTTACTGGTGTGACGTCCTGGTTTGCTGCCAAGTGCGATCTCATCCTTCTTTTGTTTGATCCCCACAAGCTTGATATAAGCGATGAGTTCAAACGTGTGATTGCTTCTCTTCGAGGCCATGATGATAAGATACGTGTGGTTTTGAACAAGGCTGACCAAGTTGATACTCAACAAGTAAGGCAAAAGATTTTTTTTTTCCTTCATTCATGTTTTCCACCGATTTCTGGACTATGCTACTGGTGTGATTTCATCAATTGATCTCAATTTCAGCTTATGAGGGTTTATGGAGCATTGATGTGGTCTTTGGGGAAAGTTCTAAATACTCCTGAAGTTGCTCGCGTCTACATAGGGTATGATCTCTGTATTTTTACAGCTAATCCAATAACTGACTTGAATGGGCATATTTTGGCCAACTAAATGTAATTGAGTTGTACCGATTAATGCTATCTGATGGATTCAGAACGTGGTAAACTAACTCTGCCTCACTGTTGGGTCAAACTTTTGGTAACATATACTAAGTCTAAGATAAATCGCTTGGGTTTTCAGTAATTGAAAGTTTTCACCTATGAGACGTCACATTTGCTTACTAGATGCTATCATGTGTTTAATATAGTGTACCAACCCACAGTCACTCCTCTCTCTAATGCTTAAGTGCAGATTTAATCTGGACACTTCAAATTAAATATAAAAATATGCATGTTCATTTCGGATAATGTCTTCAAGTCATTAGTTTTAGATGGAGCATATATAAAATTTTCATTTCCATTTGGAGTTTTATATTTTTCATTAGCATTGTGATGTTTCGCTTGCACAGATCATTTAATGACAAACCAATGAATGAAGCTGCTACAGGACCACTTGGGAAAGAACTTTTTGAAAAGGAACAAGATGATCTCCTTACAGACTTGAAAAACATACCAAAGAAGGCTTGTGATCGTCGCGTAAATCCACAATCTCACTTTGAGTCTTTATATTGCTCATATACTCTGCTCAACCTATTCTTTAAACAAGGACTAAAAGACTGGTTTTTATTGTGTACAGATCAATGAATTTGTAAAACGTGCTAGAGCTGCGAAGATACATGCATACATAATAGGTCATCTCAGAAAGGAGATGCCTGCTATGATAGGCAAAGCCAAGACACAGCAGAGACTCATTGATGAATTGGAAAATGAATTTGGAAAGGTTTAACTCTCTCAAATCCACCCACATATTTACATATTCACTGAACTGTCATTTACATGTTCACAATGTTTATAGTGTCTATACTGAGCACTAGTATTGTGTGGTAATGCCCAATTTGTCCCAAACAGGTTCAAAGGGAATTCCATCTGCCTGCCGGGGATTTTCCAAATGTCGAACACTTCAGGGAAGTTCTTGGTGGTTATAGCTTTGATAGGTTTGAGAAGTTGAAGCCCAAGATGATACAAGATGTTGACGATATGCTTGGTTATGACATCCCTGAACTTCTCAAGAATTTCAGGAATCCTTATGACTAACGAGGCCTAGTGCTGTTAAAGTTTGCAGTTATATTTGCCTGAATTTTGTTTGTTACTATATAACACATTCTCAGAATTTTGAATACAGGAAGATACTTATTTCTGTGTTAGCATGTCTCTTTCTTTTCTCTTGTTATTTTCTTTAAATCAAACTGAAGGGCTTACAAGAAAAGCAAAAGAAACTGCACTAGACTCTGAGGCTGGCAGAACAGGAGATGCCCGAAATACCAAGAAGTTCACTGAAAAGTACATAGGAAAAACTTGCACGTGGTGTTTACACCTATAGGTTATCATGGTTAAATAAAAATCAAGGTAAAAGCGTGCATTATTTAATTATGAGTAAGTAATATTAGTGTATGTAAATATGGAAAAAGGTAGAGAAAAGAGCTCAGACACGCTGTAGTATCATCCTAGAATCGGACAACTGCGGAGACCCTTATCACCGCTCGGAGCTCCAGAAATCATCACGGCTCTTCATGCACCAGCCGGGAATCGAACCCGGGTCTGTACCGTGGCAGGGTACTATTCTACCACTAGACCACTGGTGCTTGTTGAGGTTATTCCAAAGATGGAAAATTAACACTTTCTAAGCCTGCACAGGCCATAAAAGAACAGAAAAGGAATTCGCAATAACGACGAGCTCCTTTACTCGTAGTTCGTAAATCTCATTCCAGAAACTATGAGCACCTAGGTCTGGCCTTTCTCCCTTCTTATATCTGCAACCCTGACTTGTCTATTTTTCTGTTTTGCAGTTCTCGTTTTAGAGTTAACTTTTTGAACTCAACGTGTTCGTTGAAATTCCTCTTACCTTTTATGGGATCCAATTATGCTTATGCATTTCATTCACAAGCTCTCTAACCGCAAAGCTTTTATTTTGTTATTTGTTTCTTCTTGCAGGGAAACGAGAAGCTAACACGATGCTACCACAGCGGATGAAAAAGGCTATGACAGACAACCCAAAGAAATTAGCCAATTTGATTGACCTCGTAAATCTCCCTTCAACACTTAGAGAATTCATGGGTCAGTCACAGACTTCTCGCTTAGGTTGTTTTAAACGTGTCTGGTCTTACATCAAGGAAAACAATCTCCAGGTATTAACATCAATGAGGGAATATCATGCTTGATTGTTCTTCCGTCCCACTTTATATTACACTGTTTTGAAGTTTAAGATGTTATCGATATAACATTATTGATAGATGAAGAATGTTAAATTAATGGTTGAAAAGTTGGTTTTTATAAGAGGCCTATTCAGAATTTTACCGGAATACAACCTTTTTTGAATATTGGGTTTTGGATAGGTTATTTATACATAAAAGTGATTTCTTAACACAAATACATGATTTGAGCCAAAGTTAAAAAAAAAATTCCTGCTAAACCCGTAATTGAAACTGTAGACCTGCCTGGTTTTGATAGAGAAACCATCATATCAAAGTTTAAGTTTGAATAGTTTAATTAATTTGAATTTTAGAAAGTTGAAAGTTAAATGGAATGGTGTGAAACATTTTGGAACATCTCAAAAAAGGAATTATTGCCATATAAATTAGGTAAGAGGAAGTAGTTTCTTGTATTTATCGATATTTATTATTAAATGATATTCTAGTTGTTTAGTATCTGCTTGTTTGATAATTGGCATGGTTTTCTTTCAAACGATGTTCTGAAAATTTCTTGTAAGATAGAGTGAGAGTCTAGCACTGAGACTGGCGGCTGCTTAAACGTTAGCTAAGCAAACAACATTAGACTAATGGGTAAATATGTTTAAGTGTGTCTGTAAATGAGCATTGCTAACCTTTGTCTACTCTGGACTGTGGAGCCAACGCAAACATGTATAGATAACAGTCGATCACTTCTGTGATTGGCTTAGGCTTATGTATAAGATTACTCTATTTCGTACGTCAGCAAACATATTCTTTTTATCAAGCAATTTTTTCCTGATGCATAGAGGAAATAGTTGTTCATTTCTCCCTTCATTTAGTCATTCAGTTTTTCTCATGTTTTTGCATAAATTTTTTCCAATTTGATTCTTAGATGATTTCACTTTTTTGGCTGTGGTTGTGGTCCATCAGCTGTCTGCGTGCTAAACTAATGTGGTGCATACAATTTATAGACATTTCTAATAGGTCTGTAGGAAGCTGTTGTAGATATTTCTCCCGTCTATGTGCTTGAAATATACATTTGATCAGTTTTAGACAGAACTGCATATGATTTTGCGTTAACGTGACTTTTCTGTGATGTTCTGCTTTTAGGATCCAAACAACAAGAACTTAGTTAATTGCGATGAAAAGTTAAAGAGTATCTTGTTGGGTAAGCCCCAGGTTGAGCTTACTGAACTACCCACACTGATCAAGTTGCACTTCCCCAAGGCACCAAGATGATCGATTTTGTTGTAATGTTTGGTTGATGTGCTTATCCTCGATTTTTTTACTAGATTCCATGGATTTTATGAAGGACTTAAATTGCACATCTTGGTAAAAAGGCTTGCTTACTGTTCAAGGTTCTACAAGTAGAAACATATATCATCTTCTGTGGATCTCCATAGTTGAGACCATATCTCCCTCCATTTTTAATTGTTTTGGATAATCTTTATCGTATCTCTTTTTTATCTGTATCGCTCTCCTTTCCATTATGAGTTAACCAGCCTTCCTTGATGAACTTCATATTAGGAATGAGACTGTCTTCATCTTAGAGATCCTTGATAAACTCTGGCTCTTTCAACTATTGTGATTCATTCTTGGAATGCTTAAGCTATTGATGGTTAAGCAACATGCCACACTTATAAGAATGTTACAGTATGAGTTACATAAATATTGCACCTGTATATTTGTGAAAATATTTTGCACATTATTCAAGATAATATATGTAATAGAGACCTGATTCATGATTTTATAATGGAAACATTGGAAACTAAATGTAAGAATTAACAAACGCTCTTAGGGGTGGTTAGGTACTACAATAAGTCCTAGATAGGTGTAATACATTGATAATAAGATACATATTGTTGGTCTGAAAGGCGGATATAAAGGCTTCAAATAGAAAGTGCGTTTGTTTTGCAGTCGGTATGGCTTTTTTGCGCTATTCGTGTACATATCCACCACCCAACTGAACTTCATGCACTCGTGATAAGAATCCTTATCGAGTAAAAAATATTTGGGAGAGCTCAGATGCACTAATGTATCGTCCAGGAATCGGACAACTGCAGTGACCACTGATGCTATACCCTGGCATTGAACCCAGGTCTATCCCATGACAGGGTATTATCCTACCACTAGACCACTGATGCTTGTTGTTTATTTTGTTTACCATAACGTGCTATACTAGCTGTGGAGGCCTTTCGGTGATTGACCTTTCTTTCTCTCTTCCCCTGTCTGATCGATCGAGCTCTTGTAATCAATCGCAACCCCCTTGAGGTTTATTAACAATAGGTACCAAGTCTTTTATGGCTGTGAACTAGACGATTTTGAGGATGAATAATGAATAAAAAGTTATCCCGACATATACTCGTGCACTCTTTCATGAGCTGGACTCGAACTAGCATCTCTGGGAGAAGTTATTATGCTGGAACAACAAGCACCCAATTTGCCTCATTTTTCTAAAAAAATTCTTGAAACAGGACATTGGCGACTTAGATTTACATATATTCCTTACCTTGTTATCCACTTGTAATCCCCAACCTAAGTTGCTACCTCGTCATCCATTTCTAATCACCAACATGCTTGTTGTCCTTGCCTACTTTGTCACTTGTATAAGCAACCCCAACCTAATAGTGTATGAAACTAAAAGGAGAACAAAACTTTTGGAATATTAATTTGGAGATCTATAAAATTATCTGCATTTTGCATATTAGAAATTCAAAGTTCTAGCTTGTCCTTTGAAATAATTTTACAAAAAGGAAGTACAACCAATTTTGAGACGTATTCCATCAAGCAAGACGGGATATATGGTCAGCAAGGACATCGCCATCTTCGATTTAAATTAGAATGCACAATTGAGAAATACCATTTGAATTCAAGTGTCATGATTTCTACTTCTAATGCTTATGATTGTGTATTAGACTTTTCTTCTCCTGTTAACTATGTCCAAAAAAGAAAATCAGGGTGTAAGCATTTTGTTTACTTACGATGAATGAGAATAACTCAATGCAGGGTAGGATCAGTGTTTTAAAAGGCGAGGCGTTTTATCTGTCATTGACGAGCGCAAAACACAACACGAAATTAATACTTGCTAGCCAAAGATAGTATAGTAAAATTATCGTCTCCACAGGGATTGGATTTAAACAATGTTCAAGTAATTTCTAGCTTAACGCTATTCAGGATGATTAACACGTTGGTTGGGATGATTAATAACTAAAATTAACTATGAAACTAAAATAATTAACAATTGATCACTAGAAGGCAAGAGTTGAGCACACTGAAATATCAATGGGAGAAATAAAGGTCGTGACAGGATAGGTACAAGATAGCTATTTGGGATCTAACTCTAGTTCAATTCACTCTAAAGTTCTAATGATTCTCACGAATTCACTTGATGATTAGTTTAAACGTGTAGTCAAGACTAATCTCTCGGTTAAATCTTAACTCTACGAAATGAACTAATATAAGCACTGTGAACATATGCAAGCATGCGTTAATGGATTAGTCTTGAGGAAAACGTCTCTCGAATATTCTCCTAACTTGAGTTAATCAGCAATTCAACAAGCTCTTTCGATTACTTAAAAGAACCACTGAATTAAACCAAACAAAATAATGCAAAGATAATCACCAAAATATTCCTCTTTCGATTAAATAAACTAGTGAATAAAGTTGCAATCAATTCAAAACTCCATAAACGAATTCAAGCAAAAAACTAGAGTTAAAATCCACAAATATTTATCAAAACAACATATCCGTCAAACCCTAAGATAAAATACTCTATATTTATGGAAAAAATCATCACAAATAAAGTTGAATAATAAGAAAACAAGAATTCAATCCAAACTCGGGTGTTGAGTTGAGGAAAAAATGATGAATCCTTGTGCTTTGAGTCTTCAATACTCTTCCAATCTTCTGTAGGTCAAAAGTCCTCTAAAATTTATGTTTTTGATGTATTTATACCATGTAGGAACGAGCCCGGACAAAATTACCTTTTCCAAGCCGAATTGGGACAATTGGACCGCGGAAATACATTGGCACAACGCGCCATGCGCCACATTAGTGAGGATTTTTAGAGAGTTGATTTTTTCACTCTGCAGAAATTTTGCACTAGCACCCTGCACCCCGCTACGCATGGCGCGACGCAGTAGTGCAATTTTCTCAGAGTAATTTTTTTCCCTCACTTTTTGATATCCAGACTTAGTCCTCGACCTCAAACGTGATCCCGACTTAATTCCATGAGTTTTTACTCAGACTTCAATGCTCCAACTTGTTCAAATTAGCTCTAAATTATCTTAATAGCTCGAAATCACTTTCTGCAAGACATAAAACACACAATAAATGCAATACACTAATATTTAAGCTCAAACACAAGTAAAATACAATATTTGGAGTGCAAACTACGATTAAAATACGAGTTTCTAGCCTACCATCAATACCCCACACTTAAACCGTTGCTCATCTGATCCACGTCCAATCCGCACTCAATAGTGAGTGAAAACGGTCGTTGGAAGAATAGTACTCAACAAGGGTCGGGGTCGATTTTCGCAGGGAATTACTATGGGTGTTAGGAGTATACACTTGACGAAAGCGAATGGAATAACTTAATTGCACTTCCAACAAAAAATTTTGATTTCTAATTCTAATTTTACTTAAGCAATTATAAGCTAAGAAAAGAAACTAGAAGCAACTGATTGTTTTTGGTATTTTTTTCAAATAGTTAAAAAACCTATGGATGTGACCATAACCTAGGTGTTCACCTAATGGGTTAAATACGTTAACACTTATTTTATCGATTGGGGTGTATTATAGCTCTCAACTCTATGTTACTCACTCAATACCTCTCGGTCAAAGAGTGATTTTGCCCAATTTGGCTTTCTCAAGCCCAAATGGGTATCAAACTAAATAGTTGATATGAGCTCAAGTCGGGTTCTTACTATCTCTAGTTTGAACCCTTTAATTAGGCTAATCAAACCCTCAATTAGCCCAATTCCTTGTTAGCCAAGTTATCCTAGACTAGGTCCCTCTTTCTCAAGTAGAAACTAAGTCAAAAAGGCATAATCAATGTTTGCAACCATTAATTCTAAAATTGAAGCAAAAACTAAGCTAAATAATCAACACTCAATCACAAACAAGCATTAAATTAAATACCCATAAAGTTTACACACTAGGGTTGGGTAACAACCCTAGTAAGAATCTAGCTACTCATGGTGAAATTTGAAGAAAACAAAGAAGAAATGCTAATTAAACTCATAATCTAAGATTAGAATGATAAAATATGATGTTTAAGACCTAAAATAATCACAAAATTACTAAAATGGCAAAATATAACGATTACAACAGCTCAAACTTCGAAACTTGACCTAAAAATGTGAAACTCGTCTATTAATAGTGGCCCAAAATTCGCTGACAAAAATGCCCCTCGGGAGGTTTTGCGGCCGCACAATTCCATGTGCGGTCCGCAGATTGCTTCAGCTAGCAAGGTCTTGGATTCTGAAGCTGCATAATTCTGGATTGCGGCTACAAAGCATCTTCTGCGGCGTCTGCACTTCAGCAAGGCTTCAGGTCGTGGTCTTTTGCACACTCTCTAAATTTTGAATCATTTGTCAGTACACACCTTGTTCTGGAGCCGCACAATTCATGTGCGGTCCGCATATTGGCTAAAACTTTGCTGGGCTCTTTTGCTTGATCTGCGGCCGCAGGTGGAATTCTGCGGTCCGCACTTTCTTCTGCGGCTGCAGAAATCCTTCTGCGGACCACACTTCTTAAGTTATGCGCCCTTCTTTCCTTGTGTGTCGGAACACTCCTTTTTGAGTCGGATTTCGTCATGAGAGCTCAAACTTCTAATATTTTTGCAATTTGCACACTTTCATTAGTTTCAAGAACATAAATCAATACTTTCAGACTAAAATAAAAGTAAATAGGTGTTAATAAGTAGTCAAAATCTATACTTATCAACTCCCCCAAACTTAAGTATTTGCTTGTCCTCAAGCTAATAAATTAGTTCCCAATTCTTTAGAGTTAAGGGTCATTTCAGCAAGCCAAAGGTGAGCCATTCACACACTAGTTAGGACTTACAATTACCCACACTACTCATACATTATCAACAAGGTGACAAGTTAAATATTCATGCACATATAGTTCTAATGTGACATTTGATCTTCAAGAATTGACTTTACTCATCAAGGATTCTTGTTTTATCATGTAGGTCATGGTGGACTCCAAACTCTTCCTCCTCTAATTTCCATTTGCCAAGATCACTTAAGAAATTAGCACTCAATCTTAAGATTCATGAAAGGTTTACTCGTCTCTCACAAGAGAATGTCACAAGTACGACTTCAAGTACCATAGGCTTGCCCATCATGTAGATCGCCACTAATGTAAACTCACTTGGTTCGAAATCAAGTAGGACTCCTTTTGGGTTACAATGAAGGCTTTTGGATTAGGGTAGGATACCATATGGGTAAGTGGTTACACCTTTCCTTAAGCACTCCATATTTTCATTTCTCATCTCACAATTACCAATCCTTAGAGGCATTTTCTTTTCATTGGGGACTAGAGAGACTTAACATCACTCTTTCTTGTTCATGTCATTCTTTTTCTCCCTTTTTTGATTGTTCATGCTAGGGATCATTA